GAGCTTTCCTATCAATACATATCTTCCTATTTTTTAAAAAAAGAGGGTGAAAGAAATCAATATTACCTAGGTCAGACTTCTTTATACAAATTATTTCTGCAATCTTTTCAATAAGTTTGTGTTTGAGGAAATTCTAGGTTTGTGGAACTTGAGATTCTAGAGTGAATCAGCCAGTCACAAAGCAGGTAAAACAGCACTGCGGCTGCAGATGGTATCCTGCAAAATGCTTCTGCAGCAAGGCATGTAGGCACTGGTAGAGTGGTGCTCTGTAGGCCTGCGTCCCCTCTCCGGGGACAACGCCCCCCTCCTCCACTTCTCTGTCCTGGGCTCTGCCAAGGCGAGGAGCCAGGATGCATCCGCTCCAGGGAGGGGCCCTTGTGGGGTCAGAATCCTGAGAGGCTCCTCAGTGTTCTCACCACAGGGAAGTGTTTAGTGAATGAGACGGTGGGTATGTTAATAACTTACTGATCAATGTGCAATGAATATGTATACAGAACATCAAATTGGTCCCCATCAACGTACAAAAAAGAAAGACAAAAAGGGAGAAAATAATAAAGCCAGGAGTAGTAGGTTCTGGAGGAAATGTTACAACTTGTTCCTGGTTCTGTTTTCTCCTCTGCAAAGTGAGTTGCTTGGGGCTTGGCGTGCGGGGTTTCGCCGGGTCTAACTCTGCGTCCAGAGAGGGCGCCCTTGCTCCACGCCTTGCGCGCTCCTTTCTTCACCTGTAGCCCTTGTCGCGGCCTCTGATAAGCCAGTACCGGGTAAAGGGAAATGGCTGGTTCGCTTCAGTTGCTTGTAAAGTACTTAGACCCGAGCCCCCTTTGCATAATCAGGAAGGCGGCGGGCCCCCTGCAGAGCTGACCGCTGGTTCCGTGCATCTTACACCTTCAACTGCGCCTGGCGGGCAGGAGAGGGAGGCGGCGGGGTCGCAGGAGGGCCTGAGTCATGAGCGCCTGAGTCGGGAGTCAAAGCCTCCCACGGACTCTGACGGCACAGGCACGCCAACTCCTGTGGGTTTCTGATGCCAAAATAAATCAGACACCCGCCCCACCCCCACACCCCCGCCAAAGTGAGCCGGAAAAGATTTTTGAGGTGATGGTGTGGGGAGGGAGGAGGAGAGGAGTTAATAGCAGCATAAATGGGAGAGAAAGCTTGAAAGCAGGGAGGACCAGAACGCAGGGAGAGGACCCACCAGACCCTGGCTTCTCACCGGTAAGAGCCCCAGCACCAGCTCTGCTCTGGGTACCTCTGTCCCCACTCCCGCCTGCACCAGTCTCCCTGGCCATCTGCAGCCTCCCAAAGAGAAATTGCATTTAGGAAGGGGAGAGCTGGAGGAGAAAAACAGACCACCAAGTCTTTAGGGATTTTTTTTTTTTTTGCTTAGAAATTAAAGTTTTAATGACTCATCTCCATAAGAGCAATATCTAATCTCTATGATCAATAGGAAGAGAAATATAGAATACCAACAGCTAGGCTTGCATTTCCAATACAATCGTGGGTTATTTCTCCCTCAGTGAACTTGCAAACCAAATGAGTGATGAACTCAAGGCCTTTCTTGCCTAAGCACGATTGCATCCCCTTCTACTTCAGAAACAAGGGGCCCTTGGCTAAATGAGGAGGGTCTGCTTTTACTGTAATTTCTTTCTAAGGGAATGGGCTACCTATGCTTTCATGTATACTTATGTCCTTTCCAGAAACATAAACAGGCATTTCATCTCAAATTTTTGCTGAAATTCCAGTAAACACATGTTATATTTTTAGTGTTTTAAAAAGAGAAGAGAAATTACTGGAGGACCTGCCATACCATCATAAAACACTGATAAAAATGCACAGTCATTGCCCAAAGGAGCAATGAAAGAATTTTATGTTCTGTTTTTCCCTCTCGCTGTGTGGCTTTGAATAAAAAGACAAGGTGGCAGGTATAGTAACCCACCGGTGTCTGTTACACAACAGTTCAGTTCTATAAGAATGTTAATTGGAAATCGACCACAGGCAATGGTCCCGTGTTTATGGTAAGGAGGCTCCTTGCCATCTACAGCTTAAGTGCCTTTTCATTGTAGTGATGCTACTGAAGAGCTTTTCAACTAGAAACAATCTTCTACAAGTGCTTGAAAGGTAACCAAGAGGTTGTTTTTTTGTGTTTGTTTGTTTTTTACCTGTGCTTGTTCTGTTCCATGCTTCTTTCCTTACTGAGGACATATTTATCCACCCTCTGTCTCATTTCTTTAGTATGTGTGTCTGGGTTCACAAACATTAAGATGAGACTTTGTTTCTGAGCTACCTTGGTTTCACTGCAGGGTCCAACATTTTCCTTCAGTCAAGCTCTTAGCGCTGTCATCCAAGCTCCTATTCCCAAGCTTTACCTGTTTGGACATTGCCTTGAGGCCCATACTTTTGGGAAAATGTTAGCTTTCCATTAGTCAGATTGGAAATGGTTTCAAAATGTGTATCCTAAAATGTGCCACTTTGCCTTATAGATGTTCTTTGGATTATGATGGGACAATAGCTGATAAACTCATTAAATTGAAAACATTGAAATTTGAAAATTCATTTAAAACATCTAACTTACTATATTAGCTTTCCTGTTGCTGGCACAAAATACCTGACATCCGCCACTTATGTGAGGAGTGGTTTAATTTGGCTTATGGTTTCAGAGGCGTCAGTCCATGGTTGAATGGCTCCAAGGCAGAAAGGACATGGCAGAAAGGCGTGGCAGAGCAAAGCTGCTTAGTTCAGTAGCTTGGAAGCAGAACATGTTGGAATGAGTGCCAGCAAGAGACACACCCCGTAAAGGCACACCTCCAGTGACCCACCTCCAACTGGGCCCCTCCTCTTAACAGTGCAGTCAGCTATGAACATCAGTGGATTAATCCCATGAGTACCATGCCTCCAAGATTCAAGTACCTCTCCAGCAGTCTCTTAATCTAGTTAAACTGACAATGAAGCTTAACTATCACCTTCCACCTCTTGTTGACTTGATACTCAAACACATCTCCCTAAACCATATTTGATCTCCAAATACAGACAATAACAAGTTCATAATTTCCACTAATATTATACAACCAACACCTCATTAATCGATTCCCCAAAGTTTCAACAGTTACAGCATTGCTCAAAAATCCAATACAAAGTCTCCTCTGATACTCAAGGCAAACTTTTAGCTGGGTACTCCTGTTTAAAAAAACCAAACAAGTTATATATTCCTAAGGAATAATGGTATAGGGTAAACATTTCCACTCCAAAAGGGAGGAATAGGGGATTGAAAAGAATCAGACCAAAGCAAGACTGAAACCCAGAAGGTAAAACATTAGGGCCTGAAGCTTCCTGTCCAGCACCAGGGACACCTGGTGGCAAATACGACTTCCTGAGCACTTGGCCAGCCCTGCTCTCTGTCTTTGCTGTTGCAACCTGCATAGCCCATCTCTTGGGCTGCCTTCACATGCTGCTTGTGGGTTTCCTCAGGAGACGTTTCAAGTTCCTGGCATCTCCACCTTCTCAGGGGTATCTACTCTTCATTTGGCTTCATTTCTACTGTTTCTTACATCTCCCTCTTAGGGCCACATTGCTTGGCTTCCCAGGCCTTTTTTTTTTTTTTTTTTCCCAAATCTGGATGGAAGTCTCCATGATCTCACAACTCTTGTTTTTGGCATATCTGAAAAACTCACAATGTGTGGGTCTGCTGCCTGCTCTTATCTCCCACTAGTCCCACCAAAATTCCTGCAGGGAAGTCCTATTCCCTAGTACCTCTGAATGTGATCATGTTTGTAAATAATATGGTAATGTCATGCAGGAGTAGGAAGGCCCCAATCCAGTACGACTAGTGTCATAAAAAAGGGGAGGTTTGGACAAATTCAGATATACAGACACACACACAAAGGAGAATGTCATGTGAACATGAAGGAGAAATGTTTCGTGGTGTTTCTACAAACCATGGAAAGTCAAAGATTGCTAGCAAAGCATCAGAAGCTAGGGACAGGGTTTGGCAGAGACATAGCCTGCCAGGACCTAACCCTGCTGCCAACACCTCATACTCATACTTGTGCATCCAGGACTGTGAGACAAATTTTGTTTTAAAGGTCTGATAATAAATTGTATTCAAATTTTAAAAATTATTATGGTGAAAGATGTATAACCAGTAACTCACCCCAGTGTACTTCCCCTCACTACGGACACATATTCCTTCTTCCTTGCCACTTTCTGAAGCAGTTCTGGAAGTCTTCTTTTGCAAGTTGTGGCTGCCTTGGTGTCGTGAACCAATTAAAAAAATTTACTGCATTTTCTGTCAAATAAAAACATACAGTGTGTCCTCATCCATCTCATTCACCAGATCTGGCACCTGTGCGACTGCTGGCTCTTCCCCAAAGTTAAAATGACCATGAAAGCTAAACATACAAGCCACTTGGTCTTGCTACTTTCTTATCACATCCCTACCTTACTAATTCAATAGCTGTCCATGGATATTTAGTTAATCATTTGGATGATCTATAGCTTAAGGATTTTCCCACCCTATGTGAGACTCATGTTTCTATAGTACATCATAGTTTTATGAATCAAAATTCCACAAATGGGGATTTATAAGATTATATATGTGGAATGGACAATCTCCTTGTAGCATTTAGGCTCAAAGAGATGAAATAACTTGCTCAGGGTCCGTTACTTGCCCATGGACTCTCTACCAGGGCACTCTTGGACTTTTCTCCTCTTCAGCCCATTTGCAGAAGAGCCTATTAATGGTCAGCTTTACCTCCAGAAGGCCTTGGTGTTAGGCTATGTCATTGCTCCCTTCTTTGTCAGGATTCATTAGAGTTCCCTGAAATCCAGGGATAATGCAAATTTCACTGCCCTAGCACCTGCTCCAGTGGTCCTGTTGAAATCAACAGTTTCCATACACTTCACACCTCTACTGCCTGGAGAACGATGTTCTCTTAATTCATGTGGCCTAGACCTTGAGACTGGAAGGAATTTCCCCAGCCATATGGTACTAGGCATGTATTGCTTTACTGTTATATAATCATTTATTTTGGGAGGAGCCATAAAAACTTTGTCCTGGAGCCTGATGATTTGCACCCCTTTCCCTTATTAAGAATCTTAAGGTAGAGCAGCGAGAGGCCTGAAGTTCTCCAGTCTATAGTGCAGGTGTCCCCACTGTGCTGTCCCTGTACACTGCATCCTGGGGCCAAGAACAGCTGTGCTGTGGTCCAGGGGTGAGCACATCAGGGGGTGGAGTTCCTGGAAGGAGGAGAGATAAAACTTGTGATCAAGATAGGTAAGGTCTCCCTTGGTTCTCAGAAAGGCTTGTCAACTGATTTTCCACAGCCTCACATGGCTACTTGACCTGTCTAGTCACATTACCAACGCTGGCATACGCCAACAGGAGAGGAAGTGGCTTCCTCCTGTGAGTGTGATTGTAATGCTTTTGCTCTTTCTAAACACCTACTGGGGACTCCAAATTTGTAGCCAAACACTTCATTCCTGTTGAGTGAGCTATGAATTGTTTGCAGTTTTGTGAATTTTGAATTATACTAAAATATTGGTCTTGGGATAAAAAATTATGAGTATCAGTTTATTTCTGAGAGTCAAGGAAAACACATGTGGAGAAGCTAATGATTAGCCTAGTACAAGGATGAATGGAAGAGCCTCACTTCAAACTGTTGTGTGACTGTTGAAATATCACCAGTGTTGTTTCATCCATGCATTGAAAATGCATATGCCCTTGCTTGGTGGAAACTCTTAATATCAGTTATTTATATCTTAGTGTGAATAAGAATTTGAGAAGAAAGCTCTTTACATCAGAAACATAACTAAGTTGAGGTGCTGATAAATACATCTGCTCTCTTCTGTACCTGTTTGCATGCTCCTTTATTTGACAGCAAGAGGGAACTCTAGAAAGAGGTGACTATAGGGTTGATGATAAATATTACTGATGCCTCAACTTTATCATGGTCTGATGCAAGGTGAAGAATGGATGGGTAGAGTGTTTCTCTTTCCCAATTACTTCTCAAGCTTGGGGTGGGTGGGAGAATGAACACCAGAAATAAGATCCAAAGAACAAGGTCAATTAGTCACTGAGGATGCAGTAAGCTGCACTCAATGTGGAGTTTTCTCACACAACTTTGATATGAAAAGTTCAATTACGGCTTTTTCTTATGCTGCATCTACACTTTAGCTGGGAAGACAGGATCTCTGGTCCATCTCTCCTTTGTGAATCATTGTAGAGCGGAGTGGCTCTTGACTGTCTGGAAGTACACAGATGTTGGGAAAGCATAGGAGTGGTCTGTATGGCCTCTCAGTTTCCCTTCTGAATCCAGGAAATCCCAAGATGCTATCCAGAGATTTGATCCATGGGCTAGGTCCTGTCGCTCCAGGGTGCTCTAAATTTTTTCTATTCTAAGCCAAGAAAATTCCTTCACTGGCCCAGCTACAAAGTCTAAAATGACTTCATAACTATCCCCTCCCACCCTTCCTTATTTTTAAGAATATGAAGGCTTGAAAATTAATGTGCTATTTGTAGATTTGTGGGCTATTCTACTCTTCTCAGAGTTCAGCCTCCATCCCAAAGAGAACAGATATAGATCCACCCCTCGGTGACGAATGCAACCCAGACATGGGTAGGAAAGTGCAGAGATGGGAGCAGGTTTCGGTGAGAGTGGGCCAATATACTCTCCCAAGGGTAAGAACCTCAATGGCTTTGCTACTTCACAACTGGGCTCATGTTCAGGTCAGGCCACACCCCCATTCAGGTGGCTGGTCCATTCTTTACTCTCTCAGTGCCCTTCTTCCGTCAGAAATGAACTTAACAGACCTGTAACTCAGCAACTAAGAGTAAGTCACATCCTTTTCCCAAAGGAGAATTAATCAAATATGTCAGGCAGACTCTCTTTATCATGTTCTTCATGACACAGCAAGCAGAGAGCTCCTTTTTCATGCCAGGTTCCTTAAACCCTGCAGTGCCTGCTGTACAGCCCAAGGCTGGAAATAGCTTTCAGGGTGCAGCAAATACCTTCTGAGTTTTCATTCTCTCATTTAAAAACAAAAGAAAAACAGAAAGAAACTTAAAGTTAGCAGGAAAAAACTGTGCTGTCCTTGCTTGACATCAAATTGTTCCTTTTGTCATGGCATTAAACAATAGCTGGCAATAAAAGAGAAAAAACAAAACCCAAAAACCTCAGGAGCACCATATTCTTGTGATGGCACCAGGGTAGAAGATTAAAATTCTGCAGCATCCAGGACGTCTGAGGATTGCTCCTCAAACAACTGGTTCTTGATGCTCTCTCCAGCATTTCATAGTGAAGTATTTCTCTGCAGTGTGGAGAGAATTTATGAGCATGTCCAGGCTTCCTGTTTGCCAGTTCTTTCTCCCAGAAAGAGGCAAAGGAGGGGGAGGAAAAAAATACAACTCTAAAAATATAAAAGTAGACCTGCTTTATTTGGTTTTGCTTAACTAAATTTTATACACACATTTCCTGCATTGGTCTTTAAACTGGAACAGGAAAATATAAAATTCTGCAAAACAAATCTTTCATAGAATCACAATTTAGCCTTTCCTCTCTGAAGTGATGAGTCACTGTGCTTTGAGCATCATGAGATGTTCCTGAGGGTAACAAGAAAATTGGAACAATACGAATGGCTCCAGCCTCGTTATCACTATGAAAGTCACTTCCAATCAGTCAGTTCCCAGGGCAGGAGTACACAAGTTTGGTAAGAAACTTGTAAATCAGCTTCTCTCTGCAAAAGGCTTTGAGGTTTCGGATGACAGAGAATAGTCTCAAAAGCTGGAGTGTAGATGCAGCATCCCATAATGCTCCTAGCAACAAAAGAGATTAGGAATTGGACTGGTGGATGGGATTCTGTGGAGAGAAGGATGATACCACACAAGCCTCTTTGAAGGACCTGTAGCTGTGGACCTCCATGGTCCTCTGGGGGTACCCTGAGGAGAAGGAATGGGAAGTGAAAACACACAGAGGTCACCTTTATTCATGTCCACACTCCAGGAAATGGACATTTCCCAAGTCAGGGGACATGCTCCCCTTGAGAGACCCAGGGGTCTGATTCTAGCATTTATGCATCAGTCACCTCCCAAAGAGGCAGTCACCCTTTTGGGTGGCTTGAAGTACCAGGAAGACATTTGTGTCCCCAGCATCTTTTTCTTTGCTGACCTTGCCACTCTCCCCATCATGCTGAAATTATTTTCATTTTAATTATTTATGCATAATAAAAAAAAACCAAGGCAGATGGTGCCTCGCTGTCAGAGCAGTGATAAAGCTGATGATTCTCTGGACCCTAAAGCAATGATTCTGACTTTTCCCAGTATTAAAGGCCCTTTGGAGAATTTTGTGCAAACTATGGTACTTCCAGAAAAATGCACAAGTATGGGGAGTTTTGTATATAAGTGCAGATGGCTTACACATCTCCCAAATCTGTCTGTGAAACCCAGTCATCTCTTGCCCTTGGCTCTGCAAACTCTCGCTTGTGCTCAGTCTCTTTTCCTTCCCTGGTTTCCTCAGCTGATCTCTCCTGGCTCATCTGACAGTTATAACTTATCACCTTTGGCCATTAACTTTAAGACGTTCTCTTCATCTTTGATTTCCAGCAACTCTTCTGTAATATGCCTACATCTAATGTTTGAAAATATTTCTCTGTTTAAGGTTTGCCAAGTTTTCTGGATCTGTAATATATTTCATTAGATTGAGAAGTTTTGTCATCAGCTTCAAATTGTTACTCTCCTCACATTCAGAAGTTCCAATCAGATATGTATCATGTTGTTTGGTACTGTCCCACAGTTTCTTGAGTGTGTGTGTGTGTGTGTGTGTGTGTGTGTGATAGTCTTACTCTATATCCAGGCTGTTTTGGGGCTTGCTATGTAGCAAAGGCGTATTATGCCACCATGCCTAGCTTCATTTTTGTTCAATGTTTTTTCTCGTTTCTTCAGATTGAATAATGTGAGCTAGTCTGTCCTCAAGTTCACTGATTTATTATTTTTTTGGTCAACTCCAATAAGCTGTTAAGACCATCACTGAATTCTTCATTTCAGTTACTGTATCTTTTAATTCTAAAAAAATCGATCTAGACTTTTTTTTTTTTTACAGTTTTCTGTACTGAAATTTCCTATTTCTTTGTTCATTAGACCACGCTTTCCCTTTTATGCTTTGAATATATTTTCAGTCAATTATTTGAACATTATTTCTCACAGCTGATTGAGACTCTTTTCCTACTCCACACAATGTCAGAGCCACCTCAAGCTGCTTATGATTGATTGGTATTTTCTTAATTATATTTTCCTGCCTCTTTTTGTATGATGGGTTTTTCTTCTCTTTCTTTTTTTTTTTGGTACCGGGGATTGAACTCGGGCCCTTGCGGTTGTGCAGGAGGCAGTGAAACCACTGAGCTAAATCCCTGGCCCTGTGTGGTGGGTTTTTGATTGAATAGTGGTTATTTTGAGAGCTATGCTGCAGGATTCTGTATTCCCCTTCTGCAGAGTGTTAGTTCTTATTTAGCAGTCAGTCTGACTACCAGATCATCACGTGGAGCTTGTGTTGTATTGTGTTTTGTATTGTGTTACAGGATCTGTAGAAAGCCAAAACCCCTCTCCCTTGAATCTCCAAATCCTCCTTCTCCTGTGATTTGTCAGGGTTGAGCTTTTAGGCTTTGTTACCTCAGGTGTGGAAAGGGCACTTCCTTAGAGCCTGTATGAACTTCCATGTCTGTCTTGCTATTCCACATTTTTGAGAATAAAGGTTTGCTGGAACACAGTGCTATCCACTTATGCATCATCTGTGGCTGGCTTTGTGCTATCAGGCAAAATTGAGTAGTCAGTGCCCAGACCACGTGACCTGCTCAGAAAAACATATTTACCATCTTGCTTTTGTTTCGTTTTGTTTTTTTGATACCAGGTATCGAACTCGGGACCTTTCACTTGCGAGGCAGGTGCCTGAACCACTGAGCTAAATCCCCAGCCCCCATCTTGTTTTTTATTAGAAGGTTTGTTGATCCCTGCTCTGGAATGTGGTCATGATTTCTAAAGCAAAGCTTTTCCAATGTCTTAGATGGATTCCAGGGATATTAATAAAGAGTACTGAGATTTCTCCACCCTTGTGGGGTCAGAACTCTGCTTTCCCCCCAGCATTGTAACAATCTGTAGTATCTGTCCATTCCTCCTTAGTAGCTGCTGTCTGGTGAGCTCCAGATCATCTCTTCCTGCTTTACAGTGTTCGGTGCCTTCTTTCCAGTGTCCTTCTGCAGATACAGCTATTTTAGCCTTGCTGAAGTTTTCTGTCTGTTCAGCTGATCTTCCAGGCACTGCTGGACTTCAGCACTCTCTGCTGTGGTTAGGAGATTTCCCCCATTAGGGTGTTGGAGATTTTGGGATTCACCCTGTACATTTTCCTGTCTCAGGAATAACAATCTTGGGTTGCTTATTATCCACTGCAATGCCCAGTTTTATAGGCTTTACAGCTGGTAGCAGTTATTCTATTGTGACTGGAAGCATAAATCCCTCTAGTTCCTTTTAAAGTCTCATCAACCTCTTGGCAGACAGTATCTTTCAGAGCCCGTTGCTCAATTTCTCATTTCTCCTCCAACCCCCAGCTCAATGTGTCTTCCCTTCTTAAAGAGACGAAGGTCTCTTAGGAATCTTCTAGTAATGTTCTGTTCCTCTCCCAGGGACATCTGCAGTTCATAGTCCATCTGCAGAACAAGCGACTGACACCTCCTGCGTAAAGTGACCGAATCAGCCCTTTCTGACTCTGGCAACCAACTCCACTACTATCTTTTGTTTCCCGAGATGACTCTGGATAATTTCCACACATCTTTCATTGCTCTGAGGTTTTAAAAGTATGCATTCCAACAACAGAAAATTGTACTAATATTAATAGGAACCCACATTTCCTTATACAGAAGAATGGTTGGTTGTAGGCTTTTGTAGGAAATAATAAGTCGACCATCCAATCAATTCTCTTTATAACAAGGTAAATAGTAAGGTAAATAGTAAGCTTTAGTTTACTGAGAGACAATGATGTGTCAGGCACTTTTCTCACATGTGATATCATTTAATTCTTGCTGCAATCTTGAAGAGATGGCTATAATTAATCCCAATTTGGAATAAATGAAAACTCTGACTCTTAGATCTGTATTACTGGGGAACCCTTCCAGGCATTAGAGGGCCTCACTAAAGCAAGTGCTCCCCCAAAGCGCAACTTGCAGGGCTACATGACTATCTTGCAACTTACTTTTAAAGTCTGTCCTTGATTTAAACTGGCTTTTGCATGAAAATATTGAGGATGGGGAACGCATACATGGTATTTTTCCTAGACTGAAGTTAGCTTGTGTGCATAGAGATGAAGAAGTCAAGAGTGGAAATACAAGTTTTGTTAGTTTAAGAAAACAATTTCAGTTACCCTTCCCCCTTCAACTTGTTTGATTTTACTGGTACATGTTTGCAGTACAGAATGATTACATTCCTCGGGGGAATTGGTGCATGGACATAACACAGCTCAACTCATTCTACCTTCTCTTCCCCTCCCCTCTCTCCCTCCAACTCTTGGTCCTCTTCCCTTTTGCAAAAGAGCTATTTCCTGATTTCCTGTTACCCAGCTTTCATTTTGTTTCTTATTAATATTTTGAATGTCTCATATAAGAGAAACCATGCCACATTTAAGCTTGTGTGTCCGTTTTATTTTCTAAACATTGTGGACTCAAGGTGTATTTATTTTCCTACAAATGACTCAAGCTTATCCTTGATTAAGCACCTCTGGAAGCTTCTCAGCTAAGTGTGTGTCGGGTTAAAGCAATAAAGTTGAGAAGGTTCAGTAACTTTCAGCAGATGGTAACTGAACAGACAGGGTCTGAGCCACACTGTAAGATTTTGGCCTGTGCTTTCAGTCTCTATCCTCATTACCGACCCTCTGTCTGTCCTAAACATTTTTGATTCCGTAACACTGGAATTCTACATCATTTTGCCTTCTTAACCTCCATGCCTAGAAAATGGAAGAGGCTTTCAAGTAAGCTGGCTCAAACCCAGATCTTGTTCAAACCCAGATCTGAATACTCTGTAGATGAGGAAAATCATTCTTATTTTGCCAGGGTGTGAGGGCTCAGAACCCAGGAGAGGCGCCCAGATGTGCACCAGTTGCACCATCACAGTAATATGCAGAAGCCCCGAAGACACCGGGAGGGTCCTCTATTTAACCTTACCTGGCAGCGGGGTGTGGGACTCTGTTCTCGAAGAAAACCTCATGTGTCATGGAACAAGCCTGCCTAATCTCTCAAGAATACAGATAAGGCAACCAACAACAGCCAAGAGAGTACTGTCCCCTCTAAAATTCCTAAGTAAATAACACACCCCGTTGCAAGGATGTGCAAAAACCTAAGGGAAAAAAACTAAAGTCAACTGTTAATGTTTGGTAAGAAAAGCAGAAAACGAACTGTTTGCTAGAACAGAGAAGGGCTTTAAACTGCTGGAGAGTGAGTGTTTTTCCAACAAACAGACAAGTCATTAATCTTGAGCTCTGCTCAATCGGCAGGTGAAAACTGGTGCGAAGTCTCGGCAGCCTAGGAGACCAAGTGAATCATGGAGAAATGGGGCCAGGAGACTGGACATGCGGGTGCTGTCCCCTTTGTCTCTGGGCCCTTGTGGCCGCCTGGGCTCCGAGCACCCCACTTCCTCCCAGCACCCCTCTTTGCTCTGAAAGATGGTGCCACCCGGACAGGAATGGCAGCTTGGGATACAGTGAGGAGGATCCTGGGGAGTTTTTCTTCACGCATACATACCCTGCTCAGAAAGGGCGGGTCACCCTGGTACCCTGCCTGGTGTCTGAGTGGCCGCTGTGGAAGATCCCTCAGGATCCGCCCCTTCTCCGTGCCTGCAGCCATCACCCCACTGCTTGGCCTTGGGAAGCTGCCAACCACTGGAGGAGCAACTGCACAAAGTTCCTTAAAAGCCAAGCAAGCCATTAATGGAGAGGAGGTTCACGAAGAGGCGTGTGTGTGTGTGTGTGTGTGTGTGTGTGTGTGTGTGTGTGTGTGTGTACAGGACACAGGACCAGTTCAATCCTGGCCTGGTTAGTACTATGTTTGCACAAAACATGGGACATGTTCCAGGTGTTGCGGGTGCCCGCAGCAGAAACCCTGGGCCTGAACTCGCGTGGGACCAGGCTGAAGAGGAGCAGAGAGGACCTGGGCAAGGACTGGAATGGGGGACTCGCAGAAGTAATGCAAAAAGCTGGGCAGAGAAGCAGTTTCTGGCAAACCGCAAGGAGAGGGACTGAAGCCCAGGGAGAATCTAAGAAATACAAAATCCATCCAGGCGTGGTGGCGCACGCTTGGAAGCCCAGCCCTCTGACAGGCTGAGGCAGGAGGGTCGCAAGTTCGAGCTCAGCCTGGGCAACTGTTAGTGAAATCGTCTCTAAACACACACACACACACACACACACACACCCCACACATGCACAGAAGGCTGAGGATACAGCTCAGGGAGAAGGGCCTGCGTTCAGCCCCCAGTCCCGAGTTAGGGTAGGATGAGGCAGGATCGGTTTTGCAGGGTTGGTGCGGGAGGCAGGGGAGAGCAGAGCCTTAGGGGCCCTTTCCCTCCGCGGCAGGGCTGACCCGTTTGAGTCCAGACCGCCTCTGGAACGCGGCGAAAGCCGGGTATCTGTTCCCCGGAAGCTCGGCCTCTGCGCACGCACACCTTTTCCGGGGGCCCTGGCCTTCCGGGTGCGGGGGAGACCGGGGCGGGGTGGGGGAACGCTGCACCCCGGCGCCCCAGAGCCTCGCGTCGCTGGAGCCCGGATGACTCAGCACCTGCGGGCGGCACCGCGCCGAGCCCCAGCCCCCCTGCCTGGGGTGGCGCTGAGGCCCCCGGCGTGGGGCGCCCCACACCTGGAGCGGACGCAGACAGTCACCGCCCCTCCCTCCAGGGATTGTCCTTCCCCTCCCTCGGCAGCGTCCTCTGCTTCTTGTTCCTCCCGCACTCTTTTTTTTCTTTTTCTGGAAAAGTGGCTGCAGTACTGGGGAGACCGCGGCAGCGGCAGCGTGGCCCGAGCGCGCGGGAGGAGAAATCCTGGCCGCTAGCGCTCAAGCCCCTCCAACGGAAGCGGATAAAGAGTGCAAATCAGATTTTCCGCACACTTGGTGCACCCAACAGCCAGGTCACCACGGCCCCCAACTCAGGTCCTACGCTGAAGGCCACGCCCTAGGGCCTGGCTGGGCGCCCACATCCCCGCCTGGAGCGCGCTGCCTCCCCTCACCAGCAGGGGCGTGGTCCGAGCGGAAAAGCGAGCGCGGCGGGGGGAGCGGGCGGACTCCGCTGAGATGGGGTGGGGGGCCCGGCCAAGGACGCCCGCCGCCCCGCCTGTCAGAACTTTCCTGTCCGCCCGCCCCGCGCAGGTTCTCAGGAGAGAGATCCATGGAGACCCGCCCTTAATGGTCTCCCGTTGTCTTCCATGTAATTGTCAGGCCGAGAGTTTTAGCAATCAGCCCAGATAATTAAAAAACAAAATGTTATATATAGATCATGAGCACTTCCTTCTTCCTAAATTATGCCGCTTTCTAGCCCAGCTTGCTAAAGAATTTATTTCCAGGGCCTGCCAAGAATTAACAGAAAAAGTCTATTAACTTCTCTGCTATCCCTATCCAGATTCCCATCAATTCTTCAGATTTGTTTTCCATTGCCTTGTTCTCCATTTGTGTGGCCCTGGGCTCATATCTTGCCCTTGACTTGTCTGTATTGCCACTTGCAGCCTATGCCCATGGAGAAAGGCCCATTCATTCACTCATTCATTCATCTATTCTTGCATACATCAGGCATTCACTTTGCAAACCACTCCTTTGGGCCCCTTTTCAGAATAGAGGTATGGCCTTTTCCTTTGCTATTACTAAGTTGACATCTTGTGGTTCTATCATCCTTTCCTTTCCTTTCTGCCTTGAATTGGTTAAGCGCAGCCTCTTCTTGACGGTGTCCCTACAAAAAGGTTGCATAATGACACGGCAGAACTATAAACTAAATGGTGTCAGTGACAAAGCAGAATCTCGGCGCTTCAGAGACTTTTAATGAGACATAACTCCTGCCTCTGGCGAGACTTGTCAATGAGATAATGTCTCTGGCTGGTCCCTAATGAACTTGGACTGTAACCCGTTCATGGCCGGACCAACCTCAGGTTTCTCTATGGGCTCCTTTAGCACACCCTGGGTTACACTGCAGTGTCTGCTTTCTCCTGCTGCAGCTCTCCATACTTAAGGACAATATGCCAAGTTACAAATGTGACCCCACCATGCACACACAGTTCAGGTAAGACCAGGTCCCTGGGTCACAGGCAGGCATCAGGTTATTTGCCAACTCTACATGGTAAGGACAAAGGCAGAAAGTCCTAGAAAAGGACTCCTTGCTTGTTGTATTCGTACCATTATCCTGAGAAACGCTCGAAGACCCTATCCTTGGAGCACTATCTCCTTTCTTGGATAGGAAATTGAGAACCCAAAAAGCTAAGGACCATGCTCAACTTGAGGACCCAGGCCTCCTGGTTCTCTATGCTGTGTCTTTGCTACCAGTCATTACTTCCTTATAACTTATGGCCAGGGCTACTGTTTCATCACACACACACTCACACACACACACACACACACACACACACACACACACCCCTATCTTTGGGAGCACCGATGCCCTAATGCATCAATATCTCAGTGTGAATCATTTTAGCATCACCAATTAGTAAGTTAATAAACTGGAAACGCCCCCAAGGAAAGAAAGTTGCATGGAGAAGTAGGTGGTGATCTTTTTTTCCTGCAGGGAGTGTCTCGGGATCTGGGTGGTACATGGGGCTGCCACTGGGGCTGGCAGGAAGGCAGGAGAACATCCGAGGCTGCATGCTGCCTGCCCCACAGGGCAGTGTGCCCCTCAGACACTTGCTTCACACGCTGAGATAGATGTCTATGCTCCTTCAGCCACTTTGTCTCTCTTCCTCCCACTGCCTGGTGGGGTGGGATTGTGCAGCAGGGAGCTTGGCAATGAGGAAAACACCTCTGACTCTCAATTTAAACTGTCCAGGTGCCTGACATTTTAATCCATCTAAAAACTCTCTTCATAAATGAGTGGCTGCTGGCAGTCACTGTCAGCTTTGAGGAGATGAGCTAAGCCGGGGGGCACTGCCAGAATAAACGCCGTCATGGCTTGAGATTTGGAGTGTGTGGGCTATGCAGGACAGCAGGACAAAGGCAAGGAGGTGTCAGGTTCTAAATTCCTATGCAGACTTGTTCTTCAACAGTTTACTCTGTCCTCAGTGTGTTATGTTGTTATAGTGAGTTTGAGTTTTTTTCTTTTTTCTTTTTTTTTGGTAGCAGGGATTGAACTCGGGTCCTTGTGCTTGCAAGGCAGGCGTGAAACCACTGAGCTAAATCCCCGGCCTGAGTTTGAGTTTTTTGAGCAACAGTGCTAAACTGCTCTCAATCCTGAAGCTTCATGGAGCCAGAAGGGACTAGGAAAATCATGTACATCATTTAAGAAATCTAGGCACCTTGACCACTGCTCAGTTTTCTGTTCTTTTTAAATAACAAGCATAAAGACACCATGCCAATAATTCACTGGGGTTTATCCCACACCCATTATTCCTACGGTCCCCTTGGGTCTTATAATGTCATCCTTCCGGCTAAAAGGATATATTTGTACCTGAAAGATGTCTTAAATCTTACCATAATCCTGTGCTTTATGATACAGGGGTTATATTATGGGAGGATGGAAACACAGAAGTAAGTTTAATGTACAAAACAGCCATTAAGGTGGCTCAGGTTTGATTTTGGCTATCGATGTGGTTCAGGACAAAGGTCACTTGATGATTTTGAATTTTCAAACATAGAACAAGGGTCTCAGCGTAGCTAATCATGGAAGTTTCCAGATAAAATATTAAGGAATGAAAATTATGCAGCACAAAGAAGAAGAGAGAGTATTCAGCTAACAAGATTCTTTTTCTGCTTACTTCCATTTTTCAGTAAAAGTGCCACTTTAAAAAAGGCAATTTTTAATTAAGGAGCTTCACACTGAACTACAGCCTCAGTCTTTTTGAAATTTTAAATTTCGTGACAGGGTCTTGCAAAGTTGCCCAGGCTGGGCTTAAATTTGAGATCTTCCTGCCTCAGTCTCCTACAGTGCTGGGATTGCAGATGTGCACTGCTGCCAAATTGGGACAAGATTCCATTTCTCATTAGTGATACTGTGTTCCTAGCAGCATTGACCTCACACAGTCTAGTGACAAGGTGAAATGACACTTCGTATGCCTACTTAGCACAGGTCTGATAGGAGCTTAGCCCTTAGAAAACCTTAACCTTTATTATTTTTCTGTGACATCTGGACACAAACCTAGCAGGTAGAAGATGAGGCTTCCTGTTTATATTCTGAGTTTTGCCCAGACTTATTTTTCTTAGAATTTTCTTCTTCATAATGCTTCAAATCATTTGGCAAAAGTGTCACCCCAGTCTTCCCAGTTCTTGTGCCAGTTGCTGGAATAAATTAGGTTCCATCCAGGGAGGCACCTTAAAACACACTGCAGAACAAAGAGCCTTGATCTCATTTTGACAGGTTGGAATTTAAAGATTTGTGGGGGCCCTTACTTTATTCACCCTCCCTTAAATTCAAATCCAACATTTACTGGGTACCTATTTACTGAAGCGCTGCACTAGGAATATCATTATCTCCTGTAGTCATCACGGTGGTAAACCCCAAACTGTTGTCCAGGGTTTGTAAATGAGGAAAGAAAGCTTAAAAAGCCGAGGTCCCTTGTTTACAACCAACCAGTCTTGGTTTAGTTAAAACAGAGGCTTTAAAAATATAAATACTCTTAAATCTTGAAGCTGGATATTTCTTTTTTTTTTTCTCCCCCAGCATTCTCTTGGAAGACCTGTTTTAAACCTAAAATAATTTGAGATTTCCTGCATCTCAATTCTTACAAAGAATAAAAGGGTTTCCTCCTTATATCCGGTGTTCAATCCAGGACTGGAAGGAAGAGATGACTGAATTCTGCTTCCGATTAGATGGGGCCCAGAGGGTCTTAGACAATGCAGAGACCTGTGGGCTGCGTGACGCCACCTAGGGAGAGACATCTGGGGGTGTGCACATGAGCACACACACACACACACACACACTGGGGTGGCATATGAGTGTTCACACCAAGCTCCAGACAGACAGAAGGGAGAGTGTGTCTGACAGCTTGGGCAGGCTGAGTCTTAGCTGATTTGCAAATAGTTACAAATAGCAACTTCCAGATGTTAATAAGCAAAGCAAGAGTACACAAAATAATGTGCTAGATCCAGGCTGTGTGAGTGTGTGTGTGAGAGAGAGAGAGGGAGAGGGAGAAGAGAGAGTTTCTTTTAGTAACAGTAGCGATGTATCTTATCTCAGCATGAAGCAATCATTCTACATGTAAAAGTAATACAATAAATTGCAAAGGGAAAATATCTGCCCATTTAAAAGTTAGCAATTATCATAAATAGGGTAGAGAAACACTTAATTAGAGATTAAGAAGACATTAACAATTCAAAAGAGGAAAAAGGAAAAGACACGAATGCCCAATATAAAAAAATTACAATGGCCAAGAAATTTAAAAAATTATAACTATTTAGTTCACTATAAGCAGACAACCACAAATTAAAGCAGTGACAATATGTACTTTGCCTGTCATACAATACAGGTTTAAGTAATAATTATGTTCAATGTTAGTGAGGACTTGGATGTTTCCATACTCTAGTGGAAAGAGTATGAGCTTTAAAATTGCTCATATGCACTGAACTAAATAATGTCTACAGCTATGTCCCATGGAAATAATACAATGTGGCAAAAAATGTATGAAAGATATATTTATGGCCTTTTTATTTACATTAATTAGAACTTTGGAATATATTTTAATGTCCAAGATGAGCTAACTTAAATATAGGAAGATTCATATGCATCAAAGAATATTAAGTAGTTTTTCAAATGAGTCATGAGATATTTAATCACTTGCAAATACACTTTTCAAATATATATCATAAATAAAGAAGCAGGATAAAATATTAGAGCGTGATCCCAATTTAGAGAAAAATTTAAATAAACATACACAGATGGATTGACAAGTCTGGGAGGGAACATGGCAAGATGTCAAGAGCAATTTTCTATAGGCAGGAAGACTTTTAGCTTCATAAAGCTTTAAATTCTGCACAGCAGACAGTTATGATTTTAACCCTCAGCGCAGCTACTTCTTCGCTTTCCCTGAACCTCCACTGAGCGAATCTAAGAGAGTCCTGAGGGACTCATAATCATTGTTCCCTTGGGTTTCCATAGGAATTTGTATTCATGTGACATTAAAACCAACTTCGGACTCCAGGACCTTATTTCTGTGTAAGAGGGAGCAGACTGCTCGGCTTTTTGTTGGTCTGGTGCCTTGGCAGGACATTTATGTGCTCTGGATGTTTAATATTGGGCTTCCTAGCTGAGAAGACTGATCAAGTCTATGTTTAATGGGCTCATCTGGGTCTGAGGATTATGTCTTTCCTGTGCCCTGAGTCTCTTCGGAGAGGGGCTACAGGAATCTCAGTTACAGCACACAGGCCTAGCTGGCTGCTGCCATGGAGGTCTTAATGAACACGGTCCTATGATTTGGTGCTTTGCAGTTTTCTTGCCTTCCGCCCACTTGCTCTGCATATACTTTACCCTACTAAGTGTGACTTTAGAGCAAGCCTGGTGACATCACAGAATGTTAGAAAATGTAGCAAAATGCATTCGATGGAGCACCATCCAAACAAACCGGATCTATGTAAGAGATACAAAAATCTTGGGTTACATCCTTACTGAGATATAGTATTTCACCCTTAGTATTTCAGCCTAGAAAAATACTGTCTATAATGGACATATAATATCTGTCCCTTCCTTTCCTCAGCCTCAGTTTCAATATCATGTGGATGGATAGAAACAGCAGGGGCTCAGATATAATTACTTTATAAATAATTAATAAGGCACGATCATTATTACTTTAAAAATCCCATTTTGGAAAGAGTCTCCAGATAGTAGCTGAAGCTTAATTTAGCCACATAACTGTTCTGCATTAGCTCATGTGGCCCATTATTTTTAGGCTCAAAAGATATTTCCAGATGTCCTGAGACAGCAGTGATCTATCATTCTTTCCTGGGGACCACTCCCCATGCCGGCAATGTGTCTGCATTTAATATCACTTTCCATGGTAGTAGTGGCAAAATTAGTGTAGTATTGATGTATCTGAGTTTATTATCATGGTCTTCGGTAATAATGGCAAAATTAGTTTAGTACGGTATTACCCAACTATCTATAGAGTAGCCTAGGTAATTCAGTTCAGTGCTGTCTGCATTTATAGAGTCTCTGTCTTTAAATAAACCTCTTTTTAATATTAATGACATGAACCAAAAATACCCTAGGTAGATAGATGATCAATACAATAGACAAAGCTATATAAATGTCTCTAAGTGATTATAATCTGCACGTATTTAAAGAAAATTTACCAAGATAGACTGATTGTTACTGAATGAAGAATTATTAGAATCATCATCTTTATTTTCTGTTATATACATTTCTATATGTTCATTTCTACTGTAGGCATATATAGCTTTTATAATGAGAAAGGAAGAGTTAGAAAAAGAAATCTTACCTTGTGGAGGCCTTTGCCTTGGTCTCATGGAATGCACTAAGATTCGTTTCCATGGTGTACAGAAGGATTTCAGTTTGATGACCTGGCCCCCAGTATATCATTGAAAATAACTGACTGAAGGGCCGAGGATTTAGCTCAGTGGTTCCACCGCCTGCCTTGAAAGTGCAAAGACCGGAGTTTGATCCCCGGTACCAAAAAATATATAAATAAATAAAAAAAATAAAAATAACTGACTGAAGATACAGTCCTCGGGGCTGTCCCATCTCCACCCTGGCATCTGCAGCTCCCGGCAGGAAGTCTGAGCCCTGAGAAGTTAGCATCTCATATTGGATCGCAGGTGCTCAGTAAGACCTCTGAGGACAGGAGCAGAAGGCCGCACAGCCTAAGTGTAGCCAGGAGATGCAGGGCTTACCTGAATGTAAACAAATAACACAGAGGTTCTGTTTTTCTCCCTGTGCTAACCTCCCATATCTCTGTTGCAGATTGCCCTTGGGCTCGGAGGCAGGAGACCCCGAAGCAGTTCCCACTGCCCAACAGCGTGACTTGCAGCCACAGGGCAACCCCTGGGCTAGGTTGAAACGCCACACGTCTCCTGTCCAGATTGCTCCCTAGCACTCATGGTGTGAGCACTTTTGTGGGTCAGTAGCTCTCAGAACCAGATCCAAGTCTCCTCCACCTGGTCTTGATTTGAGGATGTTGGGAATTTCTGTATATCATCTCTGGGCATCGGCCTACCCCACGTGTAAAGATGGATCCTCTTCCTTTGTCACATTGTTAGGTGATGGAATTCCAGCAGGCCCCGCCTTCCCACTGCGTTCTTATTCTCCCCTCTAACCATGCACCCGGGACCCCTAGAAGAGTTCTTGTAGTGTCTGACGCCTGTCTAGACCAGGATCAGCCACACCTTGCTCCCGAGTGGCCCTGATCTCTGATGCTCAGTGCCTTGGCTTCTGCTCGCCTGTTGACTCCACCCTGGCACCATCAAGCCTCTAAGAGCGTTCCCCTTCTCCTTTATCTCAGACACAAAAGCATCTTATTTTTTCTGACACATTTTCCTCAAAATGGCATCTAGCCAACAGCCCGCTGTACCATCTTTTCCCACCTTCCTACTAAAAATACTATTTTACTAAAATACTATTCACTTTAAAGGGGAAAATACACCACCTCCAAAAGGGGCACAGATGTTCAGCCTGATGCCAGGACCCAGGAGGATGAGGAGACTGAAGGGCGGGTGGGTCACATGCTCCAGTCTGTCCTTCCCTTTCCCAGCCTCAAGCTGTAGGGTACTCGTGGACAGTGAAATGTTTATTCTACCAGAAAGAAATGGTAATCATGGAACAACACTACTGTGGGCCAATAAAACCATTTTTAACTTGGTGAAATGCATCTCACCTTCTTGTGGAAGAGTGAACACAAAAAGTCTGAAAACATTTTGGAAAAGGGAAATCATGGCAGGGACTTACATACCAAGTTTTAAAGCGAGAGACATGAAAGAAAATAAGTACAAATACAGACTCCATTGGATGTAATGTTTTGTACAGGACAAAAGTTGCAGTTGGAATCAGTTCAAGAAAGAATGGATTACTTGATACATGGTGTTAAGGTGACTGGTTAACTATGTGCTTTTCTATACACAATCATTTCAGACACATTTTAAAAATTAAGTGGATGAAACTAAAAAAAATTCTAGAACAATATATAGATAAACATCTATTGGCCAGAGGATTGCAGAAGCTCCTTTCAAACTTTAAAGCGATGAGAGGAGAATGATGTGGTTGCACTTAGAAATCATTGTAAACTGTCATATTAAATGAAAATCATGTCACAGTTGAGTGTGGCGGTGCATGCTGATAATTCCAGCACTCTGAGAGGCTGAGACAGGAGGACTGTAAGTCTGAAGGCCAGCCTGGACAACTTGGTGATTTAGTTAGAACTTGCCTCAAGATAAAAATTTCAAAAAGGGTTGTGGATATAGCTCAGTGTGAAGGTCCTGGGTTCAATCCTCAGCCAGTATAGAAAAAAAAAATCACATTACATAGAGTTAGAAGGCAAACAGCAAACTGACCTAAGATTTGTCACACTTATTACAGACATAAAATTGTGAAGTATATTTTAAAAAATTAAATACGAAAAGACCTTTAATGAATCAGTGATAAAAAACAAAAACCTAAATAGGAAGAAACAAAAGATACTGTATTTGTTAGGAATTAAATTCTGCTGCACTTAAGAGAGATTCAAATAACTTTGACAAACAGAATACGGTCTTATCTTCTCCTATAATGAGAAGTCTGATATTAGGTGGTTGGCTCATAGCTAAAGCTATCAAAGCTGAGTTTTATACAGTTGCCTCAGCCTTTTCCTCCTGGTCATAAGACGGCTGCTGTTGCTCCAGCATTGTATCTATTTCACAACCTGGGACAGGAAGAAACCCAAAGGAGCACATGCAGCAGAGCACTCTCACCTCCTTCCTAAGAGTTTTCACAGAAACCTCAACCTACCAATTCAGCTCTTACCTCTTTGCCAGACTGTGCCATCTGAGTGTCCCCATTGACAAAGCAGGCCTTGTACTGACCTTTTCAGTCAAGTGTACCCCACCTTCACCAGAATTAGGGTTGTTAGTAAGAACCAGAGGAGAATGTGACCAGCCAAGAGGTTGTATTGGCTGTGGTCAGTAACAGCTCATTTTTAAAAGGCAGCTATTGTCAGCTAAATAAATAATTACACATATGTACATATATGGTATTTGTTATCAAAATATACTTTTAAATGAAATTGGCCAACAGTAAGAACAACAAATAATCTCGTTCAGGGCATGATGAATCTGCCATTCCACCATTGATTCTGATAGTGTAAATTGGTTTTAGGCTTCTGGAAAGTGGTTTGGCAACAGATATCGAAAGTATAAAATCTTTCCATCTCTTTCAATCTTTAAAACAATTCTATCATAGATCTTTTGCAAAAGTGCAGGGGACCAAGGGATGCAGGGAGGGGGAAGACAGCAAAGGGAAAGGGGATGAAAAAAATAATTAAGATGTGTGATGTACATGTACTGAATCTCTAAGGAATGCGATCATTATTTACTGCAGTCATGCACTAATAAAAAATAAAGGTTGGAAAAAACTGCATCTCCATAAATATGTTTTAAGTGCATCATTCTGGAAGTGGGTTGAGATTAACTACGAGGACGATCATTTGTCCATTTATTCATTCATGTGCAATAGTTGCAAAGTTCTGACTATACTAGGTAGAGTATGGCATCGTAATTTGAAAAAAACAGATCTTCCAGTGGAATAGAGTAAGCAATTTTGTACACAACCCAGTGTTCTGTTCTCTTCCTGTTCCTTTCTTTTCCTTTTTCTTTTTTGTAATCAAGGTCTCACTGTGTAGCCCAGGGTGGCCTTAAACTCATGATCCTTCTACCTCAGTCTCCCACGTGCTGAGATTACAGGCATGTGCTGCCCTGCCTGGCTTCTTAGTTTCTTCCTTCTTCACACAACTACAAAGACAGAGCCTGATTTGGGTAAGAGAAACCTTTCCAAGATATTGATTCACCTATAATAATGACAAATATAATAATAGTTTTTTTTACATAGTGCATGACACAAAGTAAGCAGTAACTATTAATTTAAGAAATGCAGATTAATTCATTTTGTCATAACAATGCTATGAGGTGAGTACAGTTCTTTGCCCCATTTCACCGATGGAGAAACAAAGATGCAGCCTTGCTAGGTAACCTGCCAAGCTCCCATGCTAATAAGCGGTGGGATTGGCATTTGAACCAAGGCACTGTGCTCTTAACCACAGTGCTATACCAGGCAGGCCACTGATTTCTGGCAGAGATATGAAGAAAAGTCTGCAGGCAAACATTTGGGATAATTTGCTGTCTGTCCCTCAAGGTGAGCTGCCGGAAGACACAGTCCTTGGATTCTCCTGGGATGTGGTTTCTATGTCATGTTATCAGCAGAAGGACAAAGCTAATGCTGAGCATGGCAGAGCAGAGAGGGGAATGAATTCAGCGTCTTTAAGACGTCACATCACTGAGATGCTAAAGTCAACAACAGAGAGAACATAACTTCTAAGAAAGCTGCATGTGGAGATGACGCCATCTGTGTAATGTCTGTTTCGGAAATAATTCCTGTATTGTTCCTTAGGTTGGGTTTAGGAATTTAAAAAACAAACAAAAGCATCAGAACTGCCTGAACAGGAATATTTATTTTGTCTTCTTCAAACAGGAGGGCTCAAAAGTCCACACGGTCCTTAAAAGCCACCCAAGAGACCCTGCCCTCTGCTGTACTTGCCTGGCTCCCAGGGGCTCCTGCGCTTACTTGCTCCCACCCACTTGCCGTGGTCTCCAAACTCTCCTTCCTCTACTGTGGGCAGACACAGGACTGGAATTCCTCAAGGTCTCACACTGGGTTTGTCGTTTGCCCCTCACAGATCAAGAGCAAAGAAGACAGCTAAGCAAGCAGTGCCTGAATATCACACTTTGGCTACGGGGGAGAGAAAATTCACGAATCCTCCAACATTAGTACTTTTGGTATCATTTCCTGTCGTGTTTCCTGAGTATCTCCTAGATGCCAGGCATTAAGCTAAGCAATGTGTATTTGCGGTGAATAAATAATCACGATCTTTCCCTTCTGAATGATGTAGTCCTTGGCAGAGAACAAGGGTGAAAAAGGAAATGGATGAAAGTAATTAATTACAAATTTTACTAACTATAGGTGGGAAACAAGAAGCAATCAGAGAAGATAACAAGGGTGAAGGAGATCTTGCCACTGGCTGAATGGTCATAGAAATCTTCCGTGAGTAAGAACGCAATTTAAGCTGAGAACTGCTGGGGAGAAGAGAGGGAGAACAACACCAAATGCGATAAAAGTGGCTCTGCCTCCCAGATCTCTGGCTGGAGCAACAAGTGTGTGTCACTCATTGGGGTCAAAGAACAAGAGAAAGGGGTTGGCGTGTGGGACAAGAAGTGTAGTGTAAGTACCCTCACCTGCCGCGTGACGGGTGATGGATGTGTTACTGAACTTGATTGAGGTAATCATGATCATTTCACAATATATACGCTTGTCCAACCCTTACATTGTCTCCCTGAATATATCAGATTTTACTTGTCCATTATATATCAGTAAAGCTAGGACAAAAAAGAAATGGCAAGCCAACATCTCGTATGAATATGGATACCAAAAACCCTTAATGAAATACTAGAGAGCTGAAATTATAAAAAGGATTATATAGCATAGCCTGTAGTGGGATTTATCCAACATGTACAGGGCTTTCACACATGAGAATCAGCAACATAAAACACCATGTGAATAGGATAAAGGGCAAAACCCACATAGTTATCTCAATAAAGACAATTTACATGTGGACCCTCTGGAGTGCAGAGAGCAGCAGTGGCCTTGCTGCAGATTGGTGCCCCCTGACCTCTGGGCAGGGCACTTCCCGCTCTCTGCTTCTGGGTACACAGCAAGAAGAGTTGAAGTCAGGATCCCAAATAATATTTGTACAACCATGTTCTCGGCAGCATTATTTATAACACCCCGAAGTGGAAACAACTCAAATGACCTTAGAGAGCTGAAGGGATAAAG